CACTGAGCTCCACCTGATCTCCACACTGAGCTCCAGCACACTGCACTGAGATCCACCTGATCTCCACACTGAGCTCCACCTGATCTCCACCTGAGCCCCAGCACACTGCACTGAGCTCCACCTGATCTCCACACTGAGCTCCACCTGATCTCCATCTGAGCTCCAACACGCTTCACTGATCTCCAGCGTGCTGCAGAGATGAGTGACTCTTACTTTTCTTTAGGTGAGTTTGCCCATCTGTCCTGCACTTTTGGGGATTTGTAATCACATACAGTAGGAAAAGAGTGTTTATCATGAGAGCCTGTTTTGTCGTGTTGGTGAAAATGTTCTTCAGGTCCTCAGTTATGCGTCTCTCAGAGACCAGGACACCTGAATTATCTGCAGCTCTGCAGGTGTGTCACTGTGCTCAGTCTGTTCAGGAAACTGTGTGACTGTGAGCAGTAAAGAGACTTCAAACCAGTGAAGAGGCATTCTCTTGCTGTTGTTGGTCTTGTAGTTTGAGTGTCTAGAATGCTGATGTCAGTGACTGGTTTCCCTCTCAGGTTCAGGTCTGCAGCTACAGTAACTCCTCCTCACCCAGATCTGATCTCCCTTTACTCTGCTTTCTGTCAGCCTTTGCAGTTTCTGATAAGTTGTTTTTTATCAATTTCACAGCAAATTCATTCCAAGCACAAACAAAATTGGATTTGGGAAACAGTCATAACTATAAGTGACTGCACTGTGATGCGTACACATTCTGAATGGTACTCTTTACCCTCTTTTACTATTTTGACAGTTTTTGACACCATTTCTGATTGTATAGAGGAATCCACCAATTTATCCCAAGACCTTCTAAGACTTTTTAAAGTGAAATTGTGTCCGTTATTTAGGGTCAATGGAAACCTCTTCTAAGGATCTGAGGATCATCCTGGTGGGGAAGACTGGAGTGGGGAAGAGTGCATCAGGAAACACCATCCTGGGGAGAGAGGAGTTCACATCTGAGCTCTCTCCCTCCACAGTAACACAGCAGTGTGAGAAGGGGACAGGAGAGGTGTCAGGGAGGAGTGTTGCTGTGATCGACACTCCAGGCCTGTTTGACACAGAGCTGTCCAATGACAGGGTCACAGATGAGATAGTGAAGTCTATGTCTCTGTCCTCCCCGGGACCCCATGTGTTCCTGGTGGTCCTCCAGCTGGGCACAAGGTTTACACAGGAGGAGAAGGAGACAGTGAAACTGATCCAGAAGGCCTTTGGAGAGAGAGCAGCAGATTACACCATGGTGCTCTTCACACATGGAGACACACTGAGTGGAAAAACTATTGAGCGTTATATTGAGGAAAACAAAAACCTCAATGACTTTGTCAAACAATGTAACAATAGACACCATGTCTTTAACAATAAGAATAAGGAAGACCGCTCCCAGGTCACAGCTCTGATCAACAAGATAGAGCAGATGGTGAGAGAGAACGAAGGAAGCTACTTCACCAATGACACGTACCAGGAAGCAGAGAGGGCCATCAGGGAAGAGAAGGAGAGAATCCTGAGGGAGGAGAATTGGGATTGGCATTCAGATGAGGAAAGGCTTCTCTTTGAGGAGAACGCCAGAGATCGAGCAGAGAGAAACAACTCATTTCTGCGGAGATTGGGTATTGTGGCTGGTGCAGGAGTAGGAGCAGCAGGGATAGGAGCAGCAGTGGGATTACTGGGGGGGCCAGTAGGAGTAGCAGTAGGAGCAGCAGCAGGACTGGCTGCAGGGGCAGCAGCAGGAGCTGTGAT